TTTGCAAGCCCTGTTTTAGTACAGTAGCAAGAATACGTTTGTGAACCCTTTGAAAATATCTGGATTTCTGCATTGATCACTCGAAATGTGGTCTAATCTTCATCTAATTCGCAATAAAAGACGAGCACAATCTGGCTTAATAATAACACACAAAGTTTTCTTTATTTTTCAATATTTTTTGAAGACATTGATTCATTATTGACAATGCCTGCTGGAAAAAGTAAGTAAACGTCTGTTTTATGACATCTCCAAAAAATAATTGTCAGTTGGAGATGAGAATGGAAGTTTGGATTGCTCGGGTGCCCTGTCTACAAATGTAAGAAATTCTGAACTGTTACAGAACAGACACTGGTACTTTGCTGTCATTGAAGGAACAATGAATTCAAAGTGTATCTAGACGTATTACTGGAGAATGTCAGTACAACAGTTTATGACTTCAGGAGAGGTTAGGTGATGCAACAAGACAATGACCCAAAGCACACAAATAAATCAACTAAAGAATGGCTGGGAAAAAAAAGGAAAATGTATTTCCCTGACCTTAACCCAATGCAGATGCTGTGGCATAATCTAGGGAGGGCTGTTCTAGCATGACCGCTCAGAAATATTGATAAACTGAAACAGATTTGTGGGGAAGGATGGTCCAAAATTGGTCAAAAGTCATGTAAGCAACTAGATTTGGTTGAGGTTTTGCTGCTAAAGGAGGATCTGCAAGCTACTGAAAGTTAACTTTCTTCACCCTGCACTGCAATAAAAATGTGAAAAGTACAATTGTTTGTGTATTATTAGTTAAGTCAGTTTGTATTTGTCTATAATTGTGAGTTAAATTAAGATCAGGCCACATTTTATGAGTTATAAAAGCAGAAATCCAGATATTTTGAAAGGGTTCACTAGGGTTGGGTACCGAAACCTGGTACCAATATTAGTGGTCGACTGATATTGTTTTTTTTGACAGCCGATGCCGATATCTCGTCATGCAGGGTACACGCGATCGTGCTCAATTGCACACTTCATATGATCTCACAGCTGGATTCGACTAAGTTGACTAATGTTCATTAGTCATTCAAAGATTTGTTTAAATGATGTATACATTTTAATTCCTTTGTTTAACAGTTATATCTGATTATTAGACAGACTTCTGTACGTGGACAGAACTGTTACTGACGAAAGCGAACAAGAGGGAGAATGTGAGCACTGTGTGTTCAGGTGCTGCCGTT